CACGTTTTAAGTTTATTTATTTCTTATTATCAGTCAGTCATTTGATCTTGGGATTCTTCCATGCATTTTTCTGCTTTGAGTCATTCATGCTTATTATTTATTTGGTTTTAGATATTTATAGTTGTACATTTTATTTTCATCTTTCGGTAGTCACCCGTCAACCCTGTATTACTCTCACTTTCCAACACCTTTATATATTTTATGTTGTTTTTGGTTTCACTTTGTTTGTTGTGTTCGTGTCATATTGCCCTATGTACTAATTGTATTTATTCTGGAATCTTTTCTGATTACAACTTAAATTATTTGTAAATAATGGACTCTATTATAACTTAGAAGCTGACGGTTTTAATGCTCTTGACATTTCCAACCAAGGCTGCTCTCTATTTTTTTATGAACTCCAGGAGCCTCTGTAGACATTTTCATGATATTCAGGATTATCTTTCCACTTTAATATCTCATGCCTTTTCCATCTATGGTTTTAGCGAGATGTGGTTCAGAGAAAGTCCTCCTCCATATGCAACTATGGCCAATTATCAGCTGGTTCATTCTTCTCGCTATCTAAAGCTTGGAGGTGGGGTGGCATTGTTTGTGAATAATTCTCTGAAATTTCATGTTCGTCATGATCTCATGCCTTCTTCAGATTCAATGCGATTCTTCCAACCTGATTGTCAGTAATATCTACAGCGCTCCTGGTACTCCTTTTGATAATTTTCAGTAGTGTTTTGATTCATGCCTTAATACTACTGCAAAAGAGAAGAAGTTATGTTATTTAATGGACTTTAATCTTAATTTCCTTAGCTATTCTGATCATCAGCCCATAGATGATTTTGTGAATGCTATTTATTCCTATGGTTTCCGTACACGCATCACCCCACACAGCTCTCCCCTGCGCACCATGAAGTAAAATGTCAAAGTCTGCTATTGTAGACTTTGCATGTGGATTGTCAACTGCTCCTAGCTGCCGTCGTTGCAGTGTCATCAGAAAAGCCAGCTGAGCGGAACGATTGTGGGACAATGGGCCAGCAGGTCAGGCAGGCAAGTCTCTAGCCAAGGGTAGAAGATGCTGGAGCTGGATTGGTGGAGGTGGTCCGGTCTGAGAGGTAGCATTGGAGGAGCTTGGTACAAGAGTCTGGTAAGGGAACCAGGACTGGCGAGGCCAGAAGGGTGCGATGAGGACTCGGCAGTGTTCCTGCTCCATTTTGGACAGTACGGCTTGGATTGGGGATACTGGAGGATGATAAGACGATGATGAGCCAGTCGTCCAAGTACTGAAAGATCAGGACATCTTAGCAACGAAGGTAAGCCGTGATAGGCCTGATGGCGCCTGTGAAAACCCTGAGGGATGTTGAAGGGCCAAAGGGATAGGCCACAAATTCAAAAATTTAGCAGTTGTTAATAAAAGCAGTGGAACTTCTGGTCTGTGGGGTTGATTGCAATATGAACGTATGGGGGCCTTCATATCCACAGCAGAGGCCCAGGCTAGATTGGCAGAGACTGGGTGACTGTTCACACAGTCTCAATGTGAAAGCACTGCAGGCAGATGAATTTGTTCAGCTGCCTGCAATTGAGGATTGGGCACCAGGTGTTTGGCTCCTTCTTTGGGGTGAGGAACAACGTTGAAACGAATTTGTCACAGGATGGGAGTAGGACCGGTGTGGCGGTCTCAGCTGTCTCCCGGTCTCAGTAGTCCCCCCTGAATAGCTGGACCTTATAAATGGATGACTTTCCCATTGCTCTGCATGACGTATTTTTACCATATTTGGTAAAGGGGACCACTGAGACTGGGAGACAGCTGAAACCGCCACACAGGGAATATGGCTGTTTCTGAAGAAAGGAGCTGATTTCCAACTCAAGGGTCCGGTGTTGGGTGGAGTTCATGCAGATCAGAGTCAGGCGGAGATGTGGGTCAGACAGAGGGGTGCTCGTGAACTCCGGGGGCAGCTGAAGAACATCATCTGGAGAACCCATCTGTCTGATGTGATGTCCTGCCAGAGCCCTGTGAAAGGTCACAGTCTGCCCCAAACGGGCCCGCCAATGCGAACCAATGGAGTCATCGGCGACATCCCCTGAATGAACAGGGGATACTGCCGGAACTCGCACCAGACTTGTGAGACCCGTTGGAAGGCTGTGGTCTGTTGAAGGAGGAGTTGTAGTGTGAGGTAGGGGGTGAAAGGAGCTTGAGGCAAAGTGGGGACCCCGGCAGCAAGGCTAAGCAGCCCTATGCAGTTGAGCATGGTGGGTAGGAGCTGGAGGACAGGGTGGTGCAGGGGGCAGAGGAGGACTCAGGAATGAAATCTTGTGGGATGCCTTGATCCACTCGGCCACAGATTGCAGTGTCTGGTGAACTTGGTGAACTAACCTGCAAGGAGATCTTTGCCGGGGGGGGTTCTTTAAAGTATCTTTGTGCATATATAGAGATGTCTATATTTTATTACGATGCTTTCAATGCGAAGCGAGAAAGGTGGACTACACCCGGCCAATTACCAACTTGATTTCAAGTCTACTGTAAGATAGGCTGCTCTAGATTAGTTCTATAATAACTGCCCATATTCCGATCAATGATGCTGAAAGACAAAATATATATAAATATTCACAAACAAATCTTTCATCTATCTTTTTTGGTAAAAGAACCGACGCTTTTATAGTAAATCATCTTTTTAGAATAATGTAAACACCATCTTCAATGAACGAGACTGTTTGTTGCCAATTAATGTTCAACTAACCTTTTTATACACCAATCAAACTGCCACTTTAAAAAAATATTCATACAATCAGGATTACTAAACTGCATGCCGAACCACACTGTATACATTGCGAGGAAGGTGGACTACACCCAGCCAATTACCAACTTGATTTCAAGTCTACTGTAAGATAGGCTGCTCTAGATTAGTTCTATAATAACTATCCACATTCCGATCAACGAGCATTCATCTTCTCAATTGCCAGTCAGGGGGAGAAATAGGCCAAATTCTTGGTGCTAATGAGAGCAGAGACTTCGTATGTCATGACTGTACCATATGTGACACTGCAAAAATTGAAAATGGCTAAATTTTTTTTGGTTATTCCGCGTTCCTGACAAGTTCTTGGCTGCTGCTCCTAGGCTATAGGTTTGTGTGTTATTAGCTCTAAGAGTCCGACAAAACCATGTTAGCTAATGTTTCAGTCTGAAACATTATCTGTGAACATGCAGCATATTAAGAGTCCTTTGCATAATTTCAGTTGACAGATACGCACACAATATCAATAAGGAGTCATCTCAAATCTCGTCAGGGACAAGTTGCGGTAAAATTGTGGGAAAAAGTGAATACTTTCCCCACAATCTCGCAGAGCTTGAAGCAGTGCACCAGTTAAACCTGGTGATGAGCTTTTCACCCCTCTTGAGTATCACTACATATACCTTGCATGTTTTTCTGAGTAGACATGTACTTAGGGACAGTGACCATTTAGACCCAGTATGAAAAGGGCCCAGCTCTACCTCATCCGGTAAAAAGCCAGTTCGGTATTTAGCCTACCCCAGTCCAGTTCACAGGCCTTTCTGAGCTGTAGCTTTGAAGTCAGGCAGGCACATCAATTTATTGCCCCTTTGAGAAAAGCCAGAGCTGAACAAAAGATGATTTATCAGATTAAAGACTTCGGGCACGTAATAGTCATCTGTTTTATTACTGCCTCATGCTTGATAAAATATGGACTGGATATATTTGTTTTAAAACGTTTTCATCAAACCAAGGGACGAGATCAAAAAATACTTTGACCGTTCGCATGCATTTGCTTATGTTTCTACTGTACTGCTGCACACCGTCCAGTTCCTTTGCATTCCAAATAGAACTTCGGAATGCGTTCCTCACCATTCCCAGACATGAGTCACTTAGAGTGCATTGTTATGTTAATGCCATATTCTTTTGCATGCGAAAATGGCAGCGTCACAACAAAGATGCGAAGAACTTTTGGTGGGTTGGATGCTCGAAATAAAAATAATCATTAGATGATATAAGGTAGGTAAATGATAAAAACCACAGATGGTTCAGGTTAGGATAGAAAAAAATGCTGATATTGGAAGCGTTAATATTTTTGGCGGGTTGGATGCTCGGAATAGAATTAATGATTACGTGGTTGGGCTAGGGAAAAATTAAATCCAAGAGGGTCTGGGTTGGGATTAAAGAAATGCTGAAATGGGAAGGATCAATATCTTTGGTTCGCTGGATAGTCAGAATAAGAATAACGTTTACAAGGTGGAGCAGGGGGAAAAATGATTATCTTAAGAGAAACTAGGTTAAGATAAAGAAATACCGAGATGGGAAGGATTATATTTTGGTGGGTTGGATGCTTGAAATAAAAAATATATATATACATGTATATTTAAAAAATTGGAGGTGAGTCAGGAAAAAAAAATTTGAAAGTTTACATTACATTGTTTACACATGACGGTTGGTCAGTTGCAAGTCTTAGGATGGATGAAACCTTGTCAGAGAATTTCATTTGAAATACTCTCCCGATTTTATTCCCCCACCAAGTTTATTTCCCTCTAATCTGAACCGTAATTAGTGGCCAGTTAATTTTTCCCATGAAAACAGGTATAAAATTTATTTTTTTTGGGGGGGGGGATTTCTCTCAAAGTAATAGACCATTATTTTGGATTAAAAGAACCATCCCTGATCAGTAAGTTCCGTACTTTCCACACTGATGTCTAGATATAAATTGTAACGGTAATAATGCTCAGTTTTTTATTTACTATTTTCACATAAATGGAACACAAAGGGTACCAGGAGCACAAACAAGTAAAGAACAAACAAAAACCAACAGCCGCTCATAAAAATTCAGGAATGCTATATAAAGCTTTGGGTTAACAAAGTGGTCCAAAGTATTTTCATCAATAAAGTCATCACACATCAATTACCATCCAAAGGATGTTGAAATCAAAATAAATGTAGTTTGCAGCACGAGGTACATGTACGTGCATTAAAGTCACAGTACGTTTAGTGTACAGGGGATGTGAAACTTACTTGGTGCAACTTGAGAAAGTTGAATTGCTGGTATCGTTGACTGTGTCTGGGTGTTCATATTTGGAATATTTTGTTGTGCATAGAACAACAGGAGGCAGTGCTGGTTACACACTCTCTTCATTTCACCGCGCCATATGAAGCTCTCTTCAAGCTTTCGTCCAGTGCACTTACAACCATCACACCTGGAATACAACATGACAACAAATCTTTGGTCACATTAAAATAATGAAAAAATGTAAAAAGCAAAAATAAATTTTAAGACCCACTTTTCTTATGTGTAAGACACCGTTTTGATAAAAACCTAGAAATGTATTTGCATACAAACAGCAGCTGTTTCAGCTGTTTCAAATCTTGCAGTAACTAAATTTCTGATTAAATACATATGACTACAAACCATAACATAACAAGAAAGGTGGAGCTTGATTTTTCTGGAAATGTGTCTTTAAAAATGCCCTTTTATTATGATGTCTCTTAACATATAAGACTCGTCCTGACTTCAATTTTCTTTTGTGGCATACTCCCGTTAAAAGTACATTTCAACCCAGCCTGACCTTTGCTGTGATGAAACTTAACGATGGTGTAATCAAGTAATGCTATGTACATATTTCAATATTTCTGGGTCAGAAATTACTAAAGGCTTGCACCTTTATGTAGAAGGATGCAGAGAAAGCCCTCTGGTTTGTTGTAAACAGACAAAAAACCTCAAACTTTGCTATTTTTATCTGTATTTTAGGGCCTTTTTGTTTTTTATGCTGATACAAATTTGCAAATTCTTGAACAAAGCTGTGATGTAATCCTGAACTTCCTATTGCACTGACTTGTGTACCAAAAAAATTTAAACGACGGGTGAAGAATACCTAAAGAGAATACCAATAAGGAGAAAGAACTCATACAAAACAAACAAGTGAAGTGGGTTGATCTAGATCATCTGAAACATTGAATATCAGTTAGGCTCTTTGATGTTATGGACAAAAGGTTCTTACTTGGCTCCTTTGCTCAGCCATTTGTCGTACTGTGATTTGCAGGCCATACTGCAGAATTTCTTCTTATGGTTACCATACATACGCTCCACTCGACTACGGCAGGTCTGTGCGCAGTAATCACAAACAGTGCAGCGGAGACCTAATCGCTGTGCAAACTGCTGTTTGAATAGTAGCTTGCACCCTGAAATAAAGACAAAGGTTCATTATAAAGTCTCAACCAACAGCTATATAAATGACACAACAGATATAAAAATAAGGCCCCATCTCAAAGTAATGAGATCGAGTGAGGTGGTTGTAGTTTCATTAACAAGACCAATGTGTATATAGCGTGATAAAAACTACACATAAGGTAAGAAAGAGAAATATCTCAGTAAAGGAACATTCATATCAAACCTCTTAATGTTTATGGAGCTTGATGGATAAATGTGTACAATACATGTACAATAAAGTCCACAAGGAAAAGCAAAGTGTGCATTGGTGGACCTTTTCAGCACTAGTCCACAAGGAAAAGCAAAGTGTGCATTGGTGGACCTTTTCAGCACTAGTGTTTTTTAACCTAAAGAAGTATCCTGGTCCCAATGTAAAAGCTAAATTCACATTCTGGACTATTTCATCATACAAAATATTCTCTTCATGAAAACAAGCTATCAAAAGTATCTAAAATTGCTTATGATATTTATGTATACTTGGAAAAACCTACCGAGAGGCTGAAAAAAAAGCACTAGACCTGAAATCTTTTTTTTTGGGGGGGGGAGATCATTAAAGGGACCATGTACAAAGAGAAACATTTACGAAAAAGCTTGAAATTTTTGTTTCAATCAACCTTAATTCTAATTTTAATTTGCTATTTCTATCTGTATTTTGGGGCCTTTAGTTTTTAATGCTAATAAGAATTTGCATATTCATGAGCAAACCCCTGATGTAATCAAAGGAACTTAGCCTCAGTGTTACACTGATCTGTGCAAAAACCACATTGCTAGATGTTTTATATTTTGCCGTTGAAGTATATGGTAACAAGCTGGCGAGCAACCTTTTCTTTGAAAAGTTTTTAAAGAGGAAATTTACATCACTCTTTACTGCACCCTCCCTTGTCTTGAATGTTTAAAAAGTGCACCTTTCAGTTCACTCTACTTTAGAAAGATTTCAGTTTTGATACATTCAAGAAGAGTTATGACATTCACAAAAAGTGATTCTCAAAACAATTCACTGCACTGATCTTTAAGTGAGCCCCAAATCCAATGCTAAGGCTTTTTTTGCCTTCCAACTCTCCAACAAATTAAGACTTTAAGAACACTGACAACATTTCCATACTAACCAAAAATTTATGTCAGAACAAAGTAACTTTTGTGTACGTTTTTAATATCTGTTTCAAGGACAAAAGGTCTTCCCAACTGTATCTAAATGTATGGAAATTTTAGGTCAATCGGACCTTTTCCATTGTGAGGAAAGGACACCAAGATACTAAGGGCAAGTGTGTATCAGATTTTAACTGAACTCTAAGTTTTGACAAAAACTCGAAGTTTTGACAAAAGTTTTGAGTTCACAAGGATCTCATACATGTACATGTACCTCATGATCAATAAGTGGAAAAAAATTACCATTAACCACATACTGTATATATGCCTTTATTTGACATGCTGTATGTAACACAGGTAAAAAATGCTGGTATTCACCCAGCTCTAATGTGTGCAAAAAGCAGTCTTGATGCAATAGGTCTTTTGTGATCCAGCTCCTTTGTGATTAATGGAGAAATTACTCAGGCTTATAACCGATGATTGGACTGGCAAAACATCAGATTGGCAAAATTTGAACTTCCTTGCCGATATGAGTGTCGATGTTAAAATGAAAAAAGGAGTAAACTTTGCACTCGGTTTTGGCACAAGTCACAAACACAAATCTCGTATTTTTTATTTGAGCATGAATCCAACCCTTGTTTTTTCATTTGGTGTGATAAATGAACAGTTACACCATTAAACCCACGTAAAGAATCCCTGAAAATTGCACCTGTGCGATCCGTGCCACAACTCAATGCACGGACCACAGAGCAGCCCCAAGGAGCAGTCAGTGCACATATGTACAGTTTCCATAGACCACCATTCAAAGAGCCAGGGACAGGCAGGGAAGTACACCATGCACAAGGTGTTGTGTGACTGGTCTGAAGGTAGCCTGCGATTTCACCTTCACTCAAGGCACGTGTAGCTACCTGAACACACAACATGCACCTCTGCCATTAGCAAGCACAATGAAGACTCCAATGCAATGGTGCAGTGGTGCCATGCGTGCCTTGACTAAAAGCTACCAGATGGGTTGGCCTAAAGGCAACTCCTAACAAACTTGAAGGTTGGCAGCTCATTCCAGTCTTTGGCTCTGCTCCATCTTCTCAATTTAACTTTGCCATGGACCCAATAGGATTTTTCTTTTCCCAGGGGACATAGATTTTTCATTTTTTCCCGAGAGGGGGAAGTCCCGGGGGAAGGGGGAAGCCTTGGGGAGCCCAGGGGAGTAGGGGAAGTCCCGGGAAGAGGGGTTTTAGGGTGGTTTTTGGGTAGTTTTGGAAAAAGTCGATGTGGTATTCAGGGGGTCAATGAGGTATACGAGGAAAAGTGGTTGGTCTGAAACTCTCCTTCACATACTACTTATGGGAGCAATATTGTTATCTCAAATATTACAAAAGGTGAAATTTGATCAAGCTATCTATATTCTGATTCATAAATCTGATTTTACAGACTGGCTACAAAGTCCTGATGAACTTTGTTTTTGGCCCAATACTTTTCCTTTTGTAAAATTCACTGTTAAAATGCACCCTAACAGACGGAAATAATTTTCTAACAAACTAGCCATTGGGTATGTGAGTGGCGGTGATACAGATTTACTAGGAGTTGTCAATTTTAAAAAACTTATATATACTACTTATATGCTGGTACAGCTAATATGCCAACTTTAAATTTCCAGATATTTGCATGCTGCAGTTCATAATCTGCACGGCCTATATTCTGAAAATATTCTTACACAACAGAAAACTGTGATGACTATTTATAGCATACTGGTTCTGACAGAAACACTCTTAAAATGTAGCTGTGATGAATTTTTCTTCAACTATGTAATTTTCTTCTATGCATGAACACTCTTTACATTCCTACTTGGTTAAATGCATTAGAAAGAATATAAAATTTTCCATGCTCTCCTGGACAACTGAGGGAGCTGTTGCTGTGACATGGTTCAGTGCATAGGAGTTTCTCTTCAAATTGTGAACCCAGAAAAAAAAAATTTCTGAGAGAGGGTCCAGTGCTTTCATATTGTAATACACATGAAAAATGAATGTGCAAAGAAATCCAAGTCCTTGAAAATCTGCATAAATGCAGGACATTTTAGTGAACAAACCAATGTAACTTTGAGACTTTCCCACTGGGAGGAGGATATCACAGTTTTGCTCGTGGATATGGAAATACTAATTACCATAAAACCCCCAAAGGCAGTAAAATAACCTTTGAAACTGTGAACCAAACATTGAAAATAAGATTACCTGAGACACAAAGGGGAATTTTAAGTTTTGTATTAACGACATGCTGCCATGCGCTCATAAAATGCAGTGCACACATACAGAGCAATTTTCAAGATTTTCAGTTTTCAAACTTCTTCCAAAATTCATCATTTCATTTAATGTACATTTAAACCCACAAGAAGGACTCTTTGGTGTCTACTCTGAGCCAACAGGTAACCTTCATTGACTCCTAAATATTTCAGCCAGGCATGCAGCCTTGTAAAACAGCCCAGATAGTGCAATGTTATGTAAGATTCTTTTGTTCCCGAAACCAAAACTGTGCACTTCTGACCTCTATTCAAAAGGAGCCAGATTAGCGTGCAGCGGTGCTGTGTGGCTCATCGCTGCGGTGGTGGAGCGCTTTTGTCCCCAGTGGTAATCCACTCAGTCTAATTGCCCCAAAGCGTGGTATACTGTTTCAAAACAAGGCTGGATTATCTCCACTATTGAAAGTAAAAAAATGTCAGTAATGCCCAGCAGCTCAGTCTTTTCTGCCGAGCACGGTCTTTTGTTACAAGGCCCAGCTCTTTTGTCCTGGTTTTGGGCTCCACAGTTTTGTGTATAAAGCCTAGGTGCTCGAAAATGGGTCCCTGGCAGCAAGTGGTTAAAACAAATTGATTGCAGCTACCCTTCAAGAGTAAAATACTGCAAAACCCACTGTGAAGTTTCTGATTATTTGCGGGTAAATAGACCAATTGCATCCACTAAATCACGAGACCTATAGATCTTTTTCCTGTGATGTCACAATCATGCTGGACTGCCATGTGTTGTGATGGTAATGAGTGGATAGTGTTGAGATGGTAATCGACTTACTCAAGATAAACTCGTCAAACATACAGCATTTGCACGTGTGCTTGCGTGTGGCTGAAGCTGCCTGTAGGAATATGTGCGATCAACATGGCCAAGGCGGTCCACACGTGGTGGTATTATTTACATTTAGTGCAATACAGTTACGTCGGTGAAAAAGGCCTATAGGGGGTATTCAATACTAAGAAACATGGGAGTCTAACAACGCACAGTGTTTCATAAGTATTATTTACCAAAATAAAGCCGACGGTATGTACACGTACCATACTCAGACTACTAATGTGATGGGTACTCTACCGTAAATCGGCTTCTTGTTTGTGAACAACATTGAAACCATGTTTGCTATAGGATTGATACCCACTATAGCTTATGTGATTTAGCAGACGCTATCAGTCTACGGAAGGGACAACTAACCTTCACTGCAAAAGCTATGTGCCTCGCCTGAGAAGTAAATACGCTCATGGAGAATCTTCTCTAGATGACAATAATCACATTCCACAACAACAGAGTTAACCTTGGTACAAAAAACAAAAGAAGTTGTAAATACAGGCAAATTCAAGATAGTTTGCAATTGCTCCATGTCAAGCAACATCATGATCTCAATCTTAAAAAAATTGGGGGGATTCTGCCCCCCCCCATTTTTTCTGATATTGCTGCAGTGCATTTTTTTCAGGAGCTGAGACTCCTCCCCACAGATATGTGGGTGAGGTCTGCTGTTGAATACCTACTCTAAACAGTCGCTAAATATGCGAATTCCTTTGCGTCTGATTCAATTCGCTAAATCTTCTGATCAACCGTAGTGCGCCCTCATGTCCCATGACGCATAGCGGAATGGCCGCCATGTTCGTCGTCCTTTTCTGGTATTAAAATTGTCCAAGCCAAAAGTGGGGAAGGATGGGAGGATGCCGACTGTTTGGGGTAGCTAGGTATTCAATAGCAGACCTCACCCACATTTCTGTGGGGGAGGAGTCTTCTGCTTTCAACCTACCCCAAACAGTCTAAATATGCAGAGTAGCACCGAGCCCTTGGAGAGGGGTGCAGCGAGGACGCACTACATGATGAGAATGCCAGAGGAATAAGGAGTTGTCCAAATTTATTGCGGACTAACCACATAATGGAGTTGTTATGTCATTCTAGTGGTGGGCCGCTTCGATGAGGAACCCTTCTGTATTGATGTGGCTGATGTTAGGACCACTCTGCCATGTGAACAGTCCTTTTGTAGAACATCGGTGAGGCAGCATGTGACGAAGGTAGATAGGGTCTTCCAGCATGCTGCCTTACATATTTCCTCCATTGGTACGCCCCTGAAGTAGGCCCAAGATGTGGAAACTGCTCGGATATCATGAGCCTTGATGAGGCGTCCTGTTTCATTGTCCACAGAGTTCTGCAAATCTAGAAAACTTGATGGCCTCAACTGCCCATCTGGCTTTAGTGTCTGTGGTTGCAGCTCGGTGAGGTTTTATTGTGGTGATGAAAAGCTTTGAAGTTGCACCTCTGAGTTTTTTGGTTTTGGCTAGGTACCATTTAAGAGTTTGCACCGGGCACCATGGTTTGTCATAAGGAGTCCCAGTGTGTTTGGTAATGTCTGGTACAAAAATGTCAGGAGGACCAGCAAGCAGTTAGAGGACAGCTGACAAGTCCGATGAAGGAATTACTCTCTTAGTTGGGGGACGCTCAAGAAACATTCCCCGGAGTAGATGTTTAAGAGCAATATTGTCAGACACAGATCTGATTTGAACAGGTGCATGAAGAAGTCAGCTACAGAGGTCACAGAAACTTTGGTCGGAAACAAACCTCGCTCTGAACACCACGAAGTAAAATGTCATAATCTGGAGTCATAGATGTCACGTGTAGACTGGAGTGGACTCTTCGAGGCCATTGTGGCAGCTTCATCAGAAAGTCCTGCTGATTTGAAGGACTTTTTGACAATAGCCAACAGGTCAGGTGTAGTAACGTCGGATGAGGGTGAAGCACGCTTGACTTCGGCTGATGTAGCAGACCTGGTCTGTCGGGAAGGATCACCGGTAACTGGATGAGAAGTCTTGTCAAACGAGGGAACTATGGCTGGCGTGGCCAAAAGGGAGCGATGAGAAGGACGCGGCAGTGTTCCGTTTCGATCTTGGAGAGAACTGCTGGTATTAGAGATATTGGAGGGAAGGCTTAGGGCGACATCCCTTCCCAATTGATTTGAAGAGCCTTCGTTGCCCAGGCTTGCGGGTGATAAAACCTGGTTCAGAACACTTGCAGTTGGGCATTCTCTGCTGAGGCGAAAAGATTGATGTTCGGTTTCTCTATTTTGGCGAAGATCTGTTGGACTACACTGGCGTGCAATATCCAATCCATGGGACGTACCTTTCCCCGAGAGAGAGCATCTGCTATGGAGTTGTCGACGCCAGGAATATGAGTCGCCTGGAGGTGGATGCCATAATCCTGGGCCCAAAGGAATAACTGTCTCATCAGGAGGCAAAAACGGGAAAAATGTGTGCCTCCCTGGTGGTTGATGTATAACACCACTGTGGAGTTGTCCGAGCGAACGAGGACCTGTTTGCCTGTAATGCTTGGGCAGAAAGCTTTCAGTGCGTTGAATACGGCCTAATGTTCCAATATATTAATGTGATTCCCTTGGAACTGGAGGTCCCATGTTCCTGATGCTTGAAGCGTTGGTAGGGAGGCTCCCCAGCCCAGATGAGAAGTATCCGATGTTATGGTTATTTCCAGGTTCACCTTGGGGAAGGGAACTCCAAGAGAAAGGTGCTCCTTCACTAACCACCACTGAAGATTGAAGAGAATGAAAGATATGGGGACCTGAAGATTGATTGAGTCCCATTTGGGCCTGTAGAGTGCTAAGAGATGAAGTTGCAGTGGGGGCATGTACAGCCTGCAGACGGGAATGAGGTCCACCATGCTGGCTATCAAGCCTAGGAGACAGAGCCAGGCGCGGGCCGGAGCAGACCGCTCGGTAGAAAAGACTTTCACGCAGTCGGGAAGATTGTCGATGCGTTCGGTCATTGGTAGGATTATGCCTTGTTGAAGGTTAATAGATGCCCCTGGATATGTTGGGTATTGAGTTGGGGCGGGATTCGACTTCTCATGGTTGATGATGAAGCCCAGCCGATTTATGATGTAGCAAGTAAGGCGGGTAGAAACCTCTGCTTTGTTGAACGATCTGCCGACGATCAGCCAGTCGTCCGGGTACTGGAACAGCATGATGTACCGCTTTCGAAGGTGAGTAGCAACGATCTTTGTGACCCTCGAGAACACTCTTGATGAAGTGGAGAGGCCAAAGGAGAGAGCCCTGAATTCCCTGTACAGGAAGTGTAGGTATTTGTAGCTTTGAGGGTGAATTGGAATGTGGAGGTAGGCATCATTCAAGTCTATGGAAGAGGCCCAGCACGGAACCTGTAGAGATTGGGTGACCAGCCGAAAGGTCTCCATGCGAAATTTTTTCGGGCGGATAAAGCAGTTTAGAAGTTTGAGGTTGATAATAAGTTGCCAGCTTTTGAGTTCTTTCGTTGGAGTAAGGAAAAACGTTGAGATAAAGCCTTTGTTTGCTTGAGATTTGGGAACCTGGCGGATAGCACTTTTTCAAAGGAAAGAGTCTATCTCGGCTCCAGTGCCTGTCATTTGTTTTTGTAGGTAGAAACTGGAGTCGGACGAAGGTACAGATGGAAGGATGCTTATGAATTCAAGGGCGCATCCATTGTGAATAGTTGCAAGCACCCAGCTGTCCAATGTGACTTTCTCTCAAGACCCTGCAAAGTTGAAGTCGCCCGCCGACCGGTCTGAGATCGGCGGGCGGAGGCAAAACTGAAAAGTCAACGACACCTACCCCCTGGAGATCGGGGGTAGCGAGGCTCAGTAGTTCTTCCTTTGGGGTGGCTCTGGGGTGGCTTGGTAGGCCGAGAGGAGGATTGACAGCCACGGTTCGTCTGGTGACTGGGTTGAAGAAAGGGGCAAAATGAACTATAAATCTCCTGCCGTGGGGGTCTGAAGGGCCAAGCCCGGCAATCATCGGGACGAGATTGGCGAGGTGGAGCCACCGGTGGAAGGTCACGGAAGCCAAGTTTTACGTGTTGTGTCTTCCCCGCAAAAGTCTTTGCCATAAAGAGGAAGATCCTGAAGTCTTGACTTGACTCCCTCATAGGGAATGCTCATGGAGTCTAAAGCGTTTGATCTACGCGCAGAAGTGGCTAGAACGGAGATCTGAACGAACTGCTCAAAGATAGAGTTGACACTCTCATCAAGTACTTGAAGTGCGACAGCTGCCAGGTCAGGGGTTACTGGTGAATCTTCGTCACACGCTCGGGCCAAATACTCATAGAAAAGTGCTGTAAACGAGGTGCGGCGAAGGCCATGTCATGAGGCTTTGTCGAGTTTAGCAAGAATAGGACTCGACGATACACTTGTCATTGTCTTTAAATGGAGACTTTCCCGCAGGTTTGTGAGCATCAGAAGAAAATTTATCTTTAGCCTCCATTGGAATCTCAGGGACAGAGAAGAAATTATCAAAGTCATTCCTGGCAAAGTGGAAATAAGTCGAGGCCCTGGGTGGGTATGGACGCCATTGTTTAGCACCGGAAAGAACTTTAAACACCTTGACACATGAGAGGTCAAGTGGAAGTTTGGGAAAAATCGGCGTTGATCCCTGCAACCTAGCAGGATGGTGCTTGAAGGAAGCATGTATAATCATCTGTAGACTGATTGGAAGGCAGGCCTAATATGTGGATCATATCCTTCTGAAGAAGACGGAGCAGCGCCTCAGGAGGGTTAAGGTTGACTGCAGAGGAGATATCCTCATCTTCAGAGAGCGTATCCCACTCCATCTGCAGTTGATCCGAGGAAGGAGGAACATCATCATGTCTTCTTGGGTGGCAAGGGGCCGGAGCAGGAGGTGAGTTGTAGTCTGCGTTGGAACCTGGATACGTCGAAGGGGCGAAACCATCATATGAAGATCGGATCGCCGATGAACACAGGTTTGGATGTGGATGCGAACCCCAATGCGGATCCGGGTACGGATGTGGATCCGGGTGCGGATGCAGAGCCGGGTGCGGATGCAAAGCCGCGTGCGCATGTGGATCCGGGTGTGGATGCGGATCCGGGTCTGGGGCAGTCGCTGCGGGAGTAGAGAAGGGCTCTAGACGGCTGGCTATAGAAGAGAGCTTTTCCGAGAGCATGCGGACCACTGACATGATGTCGGCCAATGTGTCCTCCTTCTGCGAGGAGTGAGACGGGCGGTGATGAGCCTGCAAAGCCCGGTATTGTCTCAGCAGGTGGCGCACCGGGTGTGTTGTGTTGTTCTGTGGAGTGCCAGCATATTTGTCACGGCTGGGTGCCCCGATTGAAAGGGTGTCTGAAGACTATGGCACCAGGGATATTGCGGCCAGTGTAGCCAGTGTTGGCGGCATGGGGCTGCTCCGGCGCGTAAACTTGTGAGCCATGCCGATGTCAGGTGTTGCCCACGGCAGCTTGTTGTCGACTGGCGTCACCCGTTCAAAATGCTTCCAGAATGGGACA